AAAATAAATTGAGAGTAAGGGAATATTTATTTTCAGACACGAAATTTTCAAATAATGATCATTAACGACGTGGTCTTGGGCACAAACGTGAGTGTATATTGGTTAAAGAGCCGAATTCGAGAACTATGCGATATCTTCTACAGCTCAGTTAGTTGGTACGTTGAAGAAAAGTCAAAAGAAATTTTTTGAGTAAATTAGGGGAGTAAGCATGAGTATCTGAAATGGGATCGTCGTATTTGCGGAGCATATAAAGGCGAGTCGCGTGTGCAATATATTGTACAATCTTCCAAAATATTGTTTATCTAAAATAGTGTTAAAGATAATCTGAGTTTTCAAATGAAAGGAATTGTGGGATGATAACATGAAAGAATAAACATTTTTATTACACATATAAATTATAACGTAAAGACAATATATACGCTTTAAATATCTAATCGGTTGTTAAAATTAAAGTTTAATTGAAAAAAAAAAATGTTTCTTAAATTGAATATCTTATTTATTAAGTATTTTAAAGAAAGAATATTAAAAAAAAACTTTGAAATAATTGTTAATTTATATAAATAATTGAAACAATTGTTTAAACTTATCTAAATTTAAATAATTAATATTTAAATAATTTTAAATTTAAATAAATAATATTTAATATTTTTGAATTTCATATGTATTATTATTTAATTTAAATAATAATATTAAATTTAAATTATTAAAAAAGACGGTTATCGAATGTAATTTTATCTATAAAAAAAATGGAACATTAGTGTAGTTAAGTAAATAGCACATTTTTAATTAAAAGCTTTTAAAAATGTTTTTCAAACAGAAGTGAACTACAACAACAAAAATTCATTTTATATTATTTTAATTAATTGAATTTTTGGCTGACCATACAGCTGCTTCGAGTATTGCCAAATATTCATCATCAGTGGTCTTGGAAATAATTCTTGCATTTAATTATTTGTAAATAATTACTTTGAGACTGCAAGTACCAGGAATCGAACTCGTGTCCTGCCAAATTTGAAGCACAGAGTCAGCGCACCTTAGCCAACTGATCCAAAGCCGTACTTGATTTTTGTGTTCGCACAATTTTCTATAGTTTTGTTAATTTGCTGTAAAAGTTTATTAACAAATCTACTTGCTGTATTATATTATAACGAATTCATAAACCAGCTGTAGAATAATTGAATTAATTAATTATATTTTTAATTTTAATTGTTAAATTAAAAGCTTTTATGTCCTATGACAAGAACTCTATTTAGTATTGGAATGGAAACATTTCAAATCCACATATATAATATTTGATCTAGTGAGTTTTTATGCTGTCCATACAGGTATTTTGGATGCTGGCAAATATCTATCACCAAAGATCAGAGAAAGTGAGATCTATACTGGAAGTGTTAGGAATTGAAAAATGCCTGACTTGAACCGTGAACTCGTGGATTACAAAGCCAAAAAAAGCCTAAAATTTTTTCTGCATTTTTTTGTGAAGTTTTTTTTTTTGCTTTTTAATAATAAGAGACTTTTCATTATTTTCTACTTTTTTGGTAAAATTAATTATCACTTTGATACATATTTTCAAGTAAAGTTGAGCATTAACTGCATGCATAAGTGAACTGGAGCGATTTAGTTTGTACTTGATATGAATTAAATTTAGTACGACAATTTATATGTGGTATGAAATTTTCAATGTGCGATTCACTTAAGTAATTTGTATTGAAATGATTAAAATTTTAATCAAATTAAAATTATTTTAAGATTTGGGTTAAATATAGAATCTATTTTCGATTAAGTCCACGTTGACTGCAAATGTAAATATTAGTTTTTGTTTATTTTATATATGTATTTTATATATATATATATTTCATATATATATATATTTCATATATATATATATTTCATATATATATATATTTCATATATATATATATATATATGTCAAAATACAAAAGCTTCGTGGCAATCGTACATAAATAAAAACCAATTATCTTTCTGTTCTATTACTGAATAGTTTAAAGAGTATCGGGGTAGTGAATAGATCACATAAATATATTCTTAATTAGAAATATAAGAAGAAAATTAGAAGTTTTGAGTTATTGAAACGAAAAAAGTTATAATAATATTTTATCTAATGCACCTGTGATTTTTATAATGTATTTTATTTTATAATATTTATTTCTATTTTAAAATTTGTAGACATTATCTTCTTTATTTTACGAACATCTTCACAAATTTTAAATAAAGGGTATATACATAACTACATAACATAACAACATAACTGTGATGCCCGCTAAAAAAAAGTCATTTAACATGCCTATGATTTCAAGTGCTTGGTCGATCATATTGGTTTTTCGCTAAAAACTATGACCCAACGATCGCAGAACACTCGCAAGTATAATTAAAAAAAAAAGCTGATGTAAACAAAATGAGTAAGTATAGTGGCATTAACTTCCAGAAATAAAACTATTAGGGTATCTTTAATGTGCATTTTTTAAATTACAAATTCTTTACGATTATTTAAAAGGAAATACCGAATAATTTCATTTTCGAAATTAATCATAGATATAGTGCTTTCTATGACAATTGATAATTGTAACAAAGTGTTTCTCTTGATTTTAAAGATTAATAGAGTATAACCCTAGACATAAATTGTTCAAAAAATGTAACTAAATGGGTTGATATTTGTGTATTGAAGGAATTCTAAAGTATGTTGTCATATATCAAATTATATATTTTATATGGATATGGATTTTATATTATTTTAAAAAATTTTGGATTTCATACGAGGGAAATATGTGAGGAAATATTTATTAAAAATGTTAGAACAATATTTAATTTAGCATAATATTATTTCAGAACAAGAAAAACACAAATATTAAAATACATTTCCTAATACAATATTTACTGCATAGTTTGTCTAATTTTTCCGCAATATTCGCAAATAAACAATATAGTAAAATTGTGTCAAAAATCACCATGGCGTAAGGAAAATTAAGTTAAAATAAATGAAAACGAAACGAGATGAAATGCACAAAAATAAACTATGAAGAACGCAAGATCTTTTCCTTAATCAACGCAGATATAATTTGAATGCTAAAATACTTGCTCGCCTTCACAGCTGCGACTTCTGACTATTAGGAAGATGGGCGATATATTGTGGCACATTGTAGTGCGGGTATGTATATATGTGAAAATATATTTATGCAAACATTAAATTGTTTTCAACAAAAATTTGTAATTGCAAAATAAATATTTATTAAAGTTCGGATGTATATGAGTTTAATTTGCTAATAAATGAGGATCTGTATAATTTTATGGTTTAACATACAAACATGTACGAATCCAAACTTTGATATAAAATTTATAGTGTAGGAAAGTACAATTTTTCATGTTCATATCTATGAAACGTAAAATTTTATAATTTTATTACACAAATACAGAAATACACAAATGTTTCGCCAACATTCATATTTTTATACAACTTTCCAGTTGTGTGGCAAATTTTATATATCACATTTGCTTAAATTACGAATAAATTAAGCTATTATCCACTGAAAGTTGGGTGTTCATAAATTAGTTAAACAAAATACGTAAATACGTAGTAGAAATTGTAATATGAATAGTCAAGATATTAATTTAATAACTATTAATATTTAATTATCTAACAACAAATTATTTTTAAAAAATATCTCGTTTACTATTCCCATTATAAATGTTAAAATTATTATAAATAAAAATATTTATACAGGACGTTTAAATTCGGCTGGCGATTATCTGTTCCAAGAAACGTACAAAAACTATATGGGAGTAAGTCCAATTTTAATATTAAACAATATTTGTGGTGCCAGAGAAAACCCAATCTAAAATATATACAGTAATCCCCTCTTATAACGCGGTATCCTTATAACGCGATTTTAATCGCCCGTATAACACGGGCATTCCCTCATATAACGCGGGGATGTGTACAGTTCATAATTAGCTTCGCGTATCTTTGCACATATGTATACAAGGTATACGGGTATACGCCTATAACGCGTTTTCCCATAACGCCGAAGCACACTACCGCGTTATAGGGGTGCTTCGCGTACCTTTGCACGTATGTATACGGGGTATACGGGCATGCCCTT